GGAGGCCTTCCTGCCCCAAAACGGAGTGTGGGGGTGCTGTGTGAGGACCCAAAATGCAATGGGAGTGTCCCCCGCACGGACAGCAGAGACCCAAAGACCAGCTGGTGAGCAGGAGGCTGCGTTCATGCGTGGTGGGCTGGCGTGCCCACAGAGAGGGCTCTGCATGCCACCCGTGACATGACCCTATATCATTTCAGACCATCCCAATCTCTTCTTAAAAACCTCCATTGTTGTATCCCTCACAATCTCTGAAGGCAAGCCATTTCATTGATTAATTGTTCTAACTGTCAGGACATTTCTCCTTAATTCTAGGTTGGATCGTCTTTGTGGCAACCCCTTAGATATTGGAACACTGCTATCATGTCACCCCTAGTCCTCCTTTTCATTAAACATACCAAATTTCTGCAGCTGATCACTGATAAGACTTGATGGCTCTGTTCATACATGTTTTTAATACAGCCAAAATGGGTTTATATATTTCTGGAGGTGGCATGTGAATCAGACCATCCTGTCTAGCTAATGAGGTTGTTTGCAGAATTTTGCACAGAGGTGGGTTCCTACAGGTTCGCACCAGTTCGGTAGAACCGGTTCGTCAAATCTACAGAACCGGTTAGAAAAGGTTCCACCAGTGGACCCAGAAAGCAGGCTACACCTACAGAAGAGGTTCCAAAAATTTTTGAAACCCACCACTGATTTTGCATATTATATTATTTTATTTTAATTTTAATCCTCTGTGTAGCACCCAGCATCATTGTTTTGCAATGGGAATCTGTATACCATGAATGAATGAATGAATGAATGAATGAATGAATGAATGAATGAATGAATGACCTTATTTATTTGAGCATTTAATATGTGATTGTGTACTTTGGGTTAGAGGTATGATGAAACTTGCAGAGGCATTCTGAGGTCAAAAAGTAAACTTGAAGTCTTAATCCCAGTTCATGAGCAAAGTTGATGATCCAGGCTATGGTACTCTGGATAAGACAGTAGCCGAGGGAGTCAGCATTGTCCAAAGACAATTTCCGTGGCCATGTGGCCAGCATGGCTATGCACCAAAGGCGCACAGAACACTGTTACCTTCCCACTTAACTGGTACCTATTTATCTACTCACATTTGCATGCTTTCGTATTGTTAGGTGGGCAGCAGCTGGGGCAAGTAACGGGAACTAGGCTGTGATGTTTCTCTGTGTCATATATGAGTGTGCATGTGGGCATATGCATAATGGTTATCTTTTGAGAGCTGAATGCAAAGAAATGTCATTTTAATGTATGCTGATTAGTGTACATTTAAAGTGACAATAAAGTTTTATTCTATTCTATTCCATTCCATTCCACTCCATTATAGCTCAGTGGTTAAAATGCAGTACTGCAGGCTACTTCTGCTGACTTCCAGAAGTTCTGCAGTTCAAGTCTAACCGGCTCAAAGTTAACTCAGCCTTCCATCCTTCTGAGGACCCAGGTTGTTGGGGGCAATATACTGCCTCCGTAAACTGCTTAGAGAGGGCTGTAAGGCACCGTGAAGCAGTATATAAGTCTACTTGCTATTGCGATCCTTATCCTTGCAGCATTAAACTGGGAAAAGATTTATGATTAATTTTAGGCCAGTGCTTCCTTTTTTCTCTCACTTAAAAATAACTAATCGTGTATTGAGGATTCTGCAGGATTGATAAGAATAATTGGGGAACTCTTTAGGAATTCTATGAAGACTTGTTGAGTCCCTTTTCACATGATTGTGTGCATCTCATATATTGCTCTCCCATAACCATATTAATTTCAGAACTGTTTTATAGTTTACAATATTTTGAAATTATAAAATAATTAATCAGTCTCTGTTGCAGCCCAATTGATATATATACTAAAATCAGTTACAGGTAGTCCTCGGCATACAACTATTCTTTTAATGACCATTCGAAGTTAAAGACAACATTGGGGGAAAAAAGTGACTTATAACCATTTTTCACACTTGCGGCCTTTGCAGAATACCAAAGGTCACGTGATCAAACTCCAGATTCTTGCCAACTGACTCATATTTATGATGGTTGCAATGTCCCTTATGATCCCCATTTGCAACCTTCTGACAAGCAATGTCAATGGGGAAGCCCGATGTACTTAGCAACCGTGTTACTAACTTTAACAATTGCAGCAATTCATTTAACAACTCTGGCAAGAAAGGCTGAGCCATGGTGGCACAGTGATTAGAATGCAGTTCTGTGGGCTACTTCTGCTGACTGCCGGCTGCCTGCAATTTGACAGTTCGAAATCTCACCAGGCTCAAGGTTGACTCAGCCTTCCATCCTTCCGAGGTGGGCAAAATGAGGATCCAGATTGTTGGGGGGCAATAGGCTGACTCTGTAAACTGCTTAGAGAGGACCGTAAAGCACTGTAAAGTTGTATAAAAGTCTAAGTGCTATTGCTAAAACTCACTTAACAATGATGGTTATAAGTCGAGAACTACCTGTAAAGATTTACAATTTACATCAGTGAATTTTCCTTCTATCTGCTATAGAAAATGTAGAGTCCAATCTAGTGGTGGGATTCAATTTTTTTTTACTACCGGTTCTGTGGGTGTGGCTTGCTGGGCATGGCTTGGTGGGTGTGGCAGGGGAAGGATACTGTAAAACCTCCATTCCCTCCCCACTCCAAGGGAAAGATACTGCAAAATTTCCATTCCCTCCTGATCAGCTGGAACTCGGGAGGCATAGAATAGATGGGGCCAGTCAGAGGTGGTATTCACCAATTCTCCGAACTACTCGAAATTTCCGCTACTGGTTCTCCAGAACTGGTCAGAACCTGCTGAATTCCACCTCTGGTCCAATCCCCTTTGAACTCAACTTCTGGATTTTTATGAACACATCTATGCAGGGTTTTTTGCAACACAATGTTGTTTGGCATTGCCTACTTCCAGGGTGTTGTTTGTTGACTTTTCAAGCCCTGGCATTCCCTGATCATTCTCCCATCCAAATACTAACTGGGCCTGAATCTGCTTAGCTTCCATGTCCAGACAAGGTCAGTTGGATGCTGAGATTTCTCCTAGTCGAGCTAATTTGGGCAAAACGTAGGGAAAACGTTGACCTTGAATGGAGGACAGACTTGTTCCATGTAATTGAGGTTGTATTTGATATTAGTTAGACCTGCTGTGGCCCTCTACCGGGTGGGCCATTTTCAACCCTGCGGAAAAAACTTGATGTGTTCTGGAAGATTATACCTCTCTAGGTTACACCCTTGAAATGAATTTTCATTTAACACCAAAAGCTTTCGACATCTGTGGATTGTTTTTGAAGGTAATCTCTTCCTTTCTCTTTCAGTGTGACAGCGACAGTGATCAAGAAGAAAAGGTAAAGTCAGTTTCTGGTGTCTTATTCTCCCTTTTACGACTGTTTCTGATATGGTTCACGGTTCTCATATTTCCTTTTAGCTCATTGGTGAATTTTAGTCTGAGATGTATAAAATGTTTGGCATGCTAAATCTATAAGCTCAACATTCCATCATGGTCCATGCTTGGCCCAAGATGATTTCTTCTCTATCGATCTATTGCAGGGGTGTCAAATTCAATTTCATTGAGGGCTGAATCAAGGTTGTGTTTGACCTCGGGGGGTGGGCATGGGCGTGGCTCGATATAACTCGTCTCAGGGTGCCTGTGGTGGCCTGAGTGCTCTGCCAGCTAAAACAGGCTCCCGAACTCTGTTTTTGCTGGCAAAGGCACCGCGGGCCAGTCCTTCACTGTTTCCCCAGCAGCCCCGCGGGCCAGATCTAAGCACTCCATGGGCCAGATCCGGCCTGTGGGCCATGAGTTTGACACCCCTGATCTATTGGATCCATAATTCCCTTACTGTAGTAGATTTCAATAGCTCTAAAGTGGGAATATCCTGTTTGCCCCTTTGTTTGAGGCGTAGAATGTCCTATGATTCTAGACAGTGACCCAAAATGGAGTCAAGCATACATCTGCAACACCTACTTTTAAAACCAGTGTTCTCAGTCTCTGCAACTTTAATATGTGTGGACTTCAACTCCCAGAATTCCCAAGCCAGAATTCTGGGAATTGAAGTCCACACATCTTAACGTTGCAGAGGTTAAGAATTGCTGCTTGGAACCAAGGATAGGTAATTGGGTCACATCGATCGTCCACTTTCAACATCCCTAACGGCAAGAGATTGTAGATATTTTAATCCACCTTACAAAATAACCTGAATTTGTTATGCATTAACATTATGTTGTTATTAATGACTTGAAAAATATTTGGTTGTCTTCTGGATGATGGGGCCATGTAGTTCATTATTTAGCTTTGACTCCTGTGTCAGCATTCTGGCTATTTGTGCAAATTCGGTAATTCTGCTGTTTTAAATACAGGTGGTCCTCGATTTACGACCATTATTGAGTCCAACATTTACATTGCTAAGTGAGGCACTTGTGAAGTGAGTTCTGCCCCATTTTGCAATCTTTCTTGCTACGGTTGTTACAGTGAATCACCGCAGTAACGTGGTTGTTAAATGAATCTGGCTTTGCTTGTCAGAAGGTCGCAAATAGTCTTCACGTGACCCTAGCTCTCGGCAACAGTCATAAATATGAGTCAGTTGACAAGCATCCAAGTTTTGATCACGTGACCATGGGCATGCTGCAATGGTCATGTATGAAAAGCGGTTATAAGTCATTTTTTTTTCAGTGCCGTTGTAACTTCAAACTAAATGAACTGTTGTAACTCGAGGACTATCTGTATTGACTTTTCTTTTGTAGTATATTGATGTTTGACAATTGGGTGGTAAATGTTTTATTGTGTCCTAAAAAGTTCTTTTATTTGCAGAGTTGCTTCACAAAACACACTGGAATCTATTTCCAATACAGATTCATTGGCTGCAAAATATATTCCCTTGGATCTGCACCATTATATTTCTTTGGTTTAAAACATTGGACATCACAGAATGAATACCATGCATACAATATAAATCGTGTTATGCACGTGTTCCCCATACCCCAGGCAAAAAAAAAAGCTCCATGGAATTGTTAATATATAAATGGGCATGACACAAATTAAAACTGCTTTCTCAATCCAGCTAAATTACTACCAAACTAATTAACGGGCTACACAGCTTTCATTGACAGTATTTTTGTTTGAAATGCAAGCATGATTAGAGATCTTCTTGTTGGGGAATAATGTTGGTATTGACTATGGTATCTGCAGTTTAGGAGCCATAATTTTGTCAGTGAAGAAGCAAATCTTGTGATGTGGCAGTTCTTGGTTTATTTTATTTATTTAGATAGACATCTCACCAATTCAGCAAGGCATGGGAGCCAAGGTTAATTGTGATTTACTCCTGCTTGTGCAAAAAAAAAAAAAATGATAGCAGTGATCCAGTGGTGGGTTTTTGCTACCGGATCTCTTGTGGAGGTGTACGCATCCAGGTAAGTGGGTGGAGCCTCCCACCGCTACTACAAGTTCACCTGATCTGGGCGGAACCCGCAACAACCGACCTCTGCAGTGATCACACTAGAACTGGACTGTAAAAACACAAACCCATTGCACCTTTTTGATCCTATTATTGTATGGGTGATACTGGGGGGAGGGGTATTTGGGCTATGTAAGGCTGTTATATAGGCTTAACACAGGCAATAGTTGTTCATGTAAGTCAAGTTTTTTTTAAAAAACCAAGTATCGCATCAAATCAGTTGTTAAGTGAACCATGTGGTCGTTAAGCAAATCTGGCTTCCACCATTGACTTTGCTTCTTGGAAGCTTACAAATGTTGGTCACATGACCCTAGGATGCTTCAAGCATCTTAAATAAATGCCAGTTGCCAAGCACCTGAATTTTGATCATGTGAATGTAGGGGATGAATTCATAGTCTTAAATGCGGGGAACCAGTTGTAAGCCACCCTTCTCAGTGCCGTTGTAACCAGGGGTGGGCTTCAAAAATGTCAGCAACGAGTTCTCTGCCCAGTTGCTGGATGGGCGTGGCCATGGTGG